GAGGAGGAGGAGGAGGAGGAGGAGGAGGAGGAGGAGGAGGAGGAGGAGGAGGAGGAGGAGGAGGAGGAGGAGGAGGAGGAGGAACGGTATATTGAGGTCCTAGGAAGAGTGCAGAGAAGAGCAGATGATAAGACATCCAAAGGTTAAATCTCACAATAAATGACTAAGGAAACTAGGCATGTTCAGCTCAACGAAGAGGAGGTGGAGAGGAGACAGGATAGCAGTGTTCCAATATTTGAGTGGCTGCTACAAAGAAGAGAGAGTCAAGCTATTCTCCAAAGCACCTGAAGGCAGGACAAGAAAGATCATTAAAGAGAGCTCCAACCTCCTGGAGAACTAATTTCTTGACAGTGAGAACAAATAAGAGCTCGCCTTCGGAAGTTGTGGCTGCTCCGTCACTGGAGGCTTTTAAGAAGAGACTGGACAGCCACTTGTCTGGAATAGCTTAGGTTTTCTGCTTGAACAGGGGGTTGGACTAGAAGACCTCCAAGGGCCCTTCCAACTCTTGTTCTTTTGTTATCTCCTGGGTGTAGGTTTCTTAGAGGCTTCAGGTTTTCTTACAACCGAGGAGGAACTTCCTGACAGTAAGAAGAATTAATCAAAGGGATAGAAGTTGTGGGTGCCCAATCACTGGAGGGTTTTTTTTTAGTAGACAAACATTTGTCCGGAAAGGTTGTTTTATTTGTTTTCCTGGTATGTTTTGATTGCGTATTAGTAACCTATGTATGATTTGATTGTTTACAGTAACCTACGACGATTACTAAGTCTTGTATCTTATGATTCTTGATGAACGTTTTTTTAGTTTTTTCTTATGTACAGTGAGAGCTTTTGCACCAAGGACAAATTCCTTGTGTGTCCAATCACACTTGGCCAATAAATAATTCTCTTCTTTTCTATTCTATTCTCCTTTCTTCTTCTTCTTCCCATTTCTATCCTATTCTATTCTTCTTCCTTCTTCCTTTTCTTTTTTCTGTTCTATTCTATTCTCCTTCATTCTTCCCTATTCTATTCTATTCTATTCCATTCCATTCCATTCCATTCCATTCCATTCCATTCCATTCCATTCCATTCCATTCTCCTTCCTTCTTCCCTATTCTATTCTATTCTATTCTATTCTATTCTATTCTTGGTTTCTCCCCCTCCTCAGTTTCTTTTTCTGCCATTTTTTTAAAAATTCTGAAGCATTGAAGCATTTTAGGTCTAAATGAGATTTCTTGATTTTTCCACTCTCTTTCCAATTAAATAGATGAAGTTAGTTCCATGGGTTTCTTTGAATTAGAGACAACAACAACCACTCTAGAGTACGAGGAAGCGAGGTGTTTCCCCATTCCTTCCTTTCTAGTGAAAAATAAGCATTTAGAAGAGATTCTTTCTAATTTGAATCTGTTTTCAACAATTACTTTGCAGAGCCCGCCACTGACAACCACCGAGGCCCTTCCTGCGATTTCCTGCATCTTCAATCATGTGAAAATGCCGGCAGTTTCACTAATAACTCACCTTCCTTTCGTTTGGTTTGGAAAAATAAAGATTTTTCGGGGGGGCTGCCCATTTGCAACCGAAATGAGCCTGGGTTTTCATCGCTGCCGGGCTGGAATGGGATTTATCTAGTAAAAACAGGATTTCTGGGAAAGGAGTAGTGCCCGACAGCACAGCTCTAATTCACGTGCAAAAGTTTTGAACATCTTTTTTACAGATAATAGATAATCAGAGTTGGAAGGGATCTTGTAGGTCATCTAGTCCAACACCCTCCCCGCCAAGCAGGAGACCCTACACCATTTCTGACAAATGGCAGTCCAATTCTTCTTCTTGAAAGCCTCCAGGGATGAATCTCCCACAACTTCCAAAGGCAACTTCTGTTGCATTCTACTATTTTCCTTCCGAGTCAGCCCATGTTCCCATAATGGCCACCTGCCACCCACTGTATATTTGTTGAGAAAAATCGCTGCGCGGTGATTCAGAGCTTGCCGCCGTTTCTGTTTTTAGCTCCCAAATGTGCTTTGGCACCTTCTTGTTTTGCCAGTGCTTCCTTGGCATGGCTGCGGGTGTTGGCAGACTGAAAACATGTCTCCTTTGGCGTTTCCTTTCCTTGCTTCCTTCCTTCCTCCCTCCCCTATCTCCCTCCCCTGCCTCTCTCTTATCCCTCTCTCCTCCATCTTACCTCCCTTTCCTTCCTTCCTCCCTCCCTTCTTTCCTTCCTTCTCTCCCTTTTTTCTTTTTTCTTTCTCCTTCTCTCCTTCCTCCTTCCCCTTTCTTTCTTTCTCCCTCTTTCTTTCTTCCTCTCTCTTTTCTTTCTATTTATCCTTTCTTTCTTTCTTTCTTTCTTTCTTTCTTTCTTTCTTTCTTTCTTTCTTTCTTTCTTTCTTTCTTTCTTTTTCTTTCTTTCTCCCTCTCTTTCTCCTTTTCCTCCTTTCCCTTTCCTTCCTCTCTCCCTTTTTGTTCTTTCCTTATTTTCTCTCCTTCCTCTTTCTCTTTCTTTTTTTCTCCCTTTTTCTTTCTCCCTTTCTTTCCTTCCTTCCTTCCTCCTTCCCTTTTCTTTCTTTCTCATTCTTTTTCTTCCTCCCTTCCTCTTCCTTTCCTTCTTTGCTTTCCTCCCTCTTTTCTCTTTTCTTTCTTTTCTTTCTTTCTTCTTCTCCTTCCTTCTTTCCCCCCCCCCCACCCCGGTCTCTCTCTCTCTCCTCCCTCCCTTCCTCTTTCTCAACCTTGCAAGATGCTCAGCTGGCTAGAGGATTCTGGGAGTCAAAGTCCACACATCTCCAATTTGCCAAGCTTAAGGAACCACGGCTTCTCCACAATCCAGCCAAGACTATTAAACGAGAATAGATTTCGCAAACATCCCGCTAGACCTTCTCCTCTCCTCAGAATATCCTCACGCTGTTCAGGCATCACAAGGCCGCCATTTGCTGCCCCCAAAGTGACATTATGTGAGAACGCTCTCTCTTTGCAAGAGAGAGAGAGAGAGAGAGAGAGAGAGAGAGAGAGAGAGAGAGAGAGAG